CCCCCCGGCACTGCCCTGAGGGCTGTGTCCCCACCAGGATGTGCCCTCCACCCACGCCGTGAATTAGCGGCCAGACCAGCCAGGACGGCAGCAGGGAGCCGCCCACTCCGAGGGCAGCACACGCAGACACGAGCGTCAGAGACACGGGTCAGAAGCCGGGCGTTCTGCAACCAGGTGGAGGCAGGGATGCGGCAGGAGGGTGGGATTGCAGGGCAAGGCCAGGGCAAACGCAGTGTCAGGAGGGGCAGGAGACGACAGCTAAGCTCACCATCACGGGGCTCCGTGGATTGTATACAGGAGCCCGGGACGGACAGTGGCCACGACCTGGCTGTGCAGCCTCGTGAAAACTGACGTAGCCTCCCAGGGCCTCAACTCCGTGCCCCAGAGACGTGGCTCTGGCTGTACCTGGTCCATTCAGACACTTAAAAGAACTCAGGTAAAACCTGACAACAGGTTTTTATAGGGCGGCAGGATTACATATTAAAGCTGCTTCCTGCAGGGCCCACAGAGCAAACAAGAGATTTGTCCACATGTATTAACAGATTGTCTGCCATCGATGCTCTTATCCATTAGCGCATGAGAGGTTCCATCCCCAGATGATTTAATCAAAAACAATCTAGGCGTAATTATACCTACAAATAGAACAGAACACATCGTCTTTTCTTTCTAAGACAATAAGAACATCTCTCTGCTTCCCCAAACAAATACCCTCTGGATATCCCCTTTCAGTGCCTCTTTCAGGAAGTTTCTAGTAAGTGCCACGCTTAGGACAGAAATCGACCCCCAGCAGCTTACTGGTAGGATCCATAACGTATCAAAGTCCATAGGGCAAGGGCAATACGAATATGGTATATTTTCTGTTTGCAGTTCATTCAAAATGTACCTTTTTGTTTTGAGTAATTCCACTGGCCTCCTCAGAACCACGGACAAGGCTCTCTGGGAGCTTTGAATACGAGGGCATTGCAATTTAGTAGTTCTTGGGGGAAAAATACTTAGTGGGCACTTACATAAACTCGATCATCCATCTAAGGCTGTTGTTCCCAAAGAATTAAATGGCACGGCCGTCAGCACCGACTGCTGCCAGCTGCACATCCTCGGGGATTTGCTATTTTCTCCCAGCCTCATCAGGCAGCTCAGTCCCTCAGACTGATGTTCTCTTAGCGGATGGCGACCCCGCACCCTGCACGCGGGTTGACTCCAAATCGGCCTCGGCGACGTTTGGGCGAGCGCGTCCAGGTTAGTGTAGCTGGGGACAGGAAACGTCCGTCTTCTTCTGTCTCCCTGTGGGTCCCGACCGAGCCGAGGAGACGGCGGCCACAGGACAGGAGTCCACGCAGGCAGAATAGCGACCGACTGCAACCTAGAGAGCTGGTCAGAGTAACACATGGGACAAGTCCCAAACCTGAGACGGAAGTGCCTCCCTGTGCTGATCACTCCCCAGGACACTGCTTGTTAAAAGCCAAACATCTAGGCCTCGTGCCCCACATCGCAGTGCAGGGGTGGGGGGCTATTGGGGACTTACCCAGGAATCTGCCTTTCTTTCTAAAAAGCTCAGTGGCATTTGAAAAACCCCTGGTGAATTCCAGACAAGCCACAGCAAAAGCAAATTATCGTCCCCGTCTCCAATTAAAGGCAAAGCCGCTTCCTCAACACCGACAGCCGCCAAGGCTGAACCATGACTTTTCCCCAGGAAGCCTGGAAAAGGCTCCTTGCTCTCCTAGGTGAGACGTCAGAATGCAGTGAGAGCGTTCCCGTCTGTGGAGAATGAGGCTGATTGCTCTTGATTTCTATTAGCAATAATCGCGCCTCGGATAAACCTCATTGGCTACGATACTGCCACTGCACAAAGCTTGATTGCTCTTGATTTCTTACGTGACTTTTTTGCATTTCTTCTGACACCACTTGCCTTAGTCCGAGATGGAGTTGAACCCCATGCCCCTACGGCTTGCCTCATCCGTCCGTATCGTGTCTAGACTCCCGACACTATCTTCTGACACAGAAAAAGTCCTCCTTTAGAGTGATGTACAAAATCTCCAGATGCTTTACTGTCCTCGAGACTGGGCCCTTGATTAGCGTGCTTTCTTGCTCCTTCTACTGAAAGTATCTGAAAAACATGAATCTCTCTTCCTCCTGTAAGATGTTCTTTTGGAACGTCTTCTAAGACATCTGTTCTTTCTTCAAAGGACCATACTCGCAACATGTCTAATGGAGCTTGGCTGGGAAGAAAAAGGTGACCGAAAGAAGAAAATGATGGAAACATTCCCTAGATCGTATCAACGGCAGCCAAAGAGCTTGCCGGGTTACTTCAGGTGCCGAGGGAGCCCAGGTTGTCAGGGGGGTCAGCGAAGCCTCTAGTCCAGTGTCCCCTGCGAGGGACCCGCCCACTACGACGTCTGTCCCATTCTGAAGTCTTCCAGAGATGATCTGGGAGCCTCGTTTCAGTATCCCATCAGCCTTGCACCAGGAAACCCGTCTTCACGTGTGGCGGGGCTCGGGCAGAGCGTGGAACCAACCGCAGGGCTCTCCTATTCTTTCTAGTATTTTCTGCCGTGGAGATGTCGCCCTATGTATGTTCCTCCAAACGTGAAGGGTAAGTGTTGAGCATGTTCATGGAAGGCCTCTCTGCCCCACGCCCCTCACGCACCTGAAGCGGAGCCCCTGTGTGGGTGGACACGGCGAGGAGGAAGGGAGACTACCCACCATGGGGGGAGGGGCCGCGACACGAGGGACGCTGAGCTGAGCGAACTACAAAAACCAGCCCCTAGCGTGCACCTGCCCAGCGCCTCCCTGTGCTGAGCCCTGCGGGAGGGAGTGTCCGCCAGGAGTCGACCCGTCTCTGCCTCCGGGAAGGAGCGGCCCACCCGGGCTTCTCTACCAGAACCCTCTCCCCTCGTCCTCCTCCACCTCTCCGCCCTTTGCCCTCTTCTCACCCCGCCCCCAACCCCACCCCGCCTCTTGCTCAGACGCAGGCGTGCGCACCACCCCCAGCACTGCACCTTATTTGTTCTATGCAAACAAGGAGGCGATTAAATGTATCAGAAGAGAACTGACATCTGTTCAGGGCTGGTGAGGGTCAGAGGCTCTGAAAACGGAAGAGAAAATCTGCCCACCTCTCAATGCCACACCTTCTCCTATGGGAGGAATTACATTTACATGTGATAGACACGCGTTTAAATATGTACCCAGTGCACATATACACAGATATATTATACGCTGTGCACATGTACAAGATATACACGTGTGTATGTACCCACTCACATACATATGTGCACATTTCTGTTATGTATGCATACATAATATATGCACATACATGCACACACACATATACACACTCACATACATAATCTATAAGACATGTAATATATGTGTGCACATGTAATATATACATGCATGTAACATGTATATTTTATGCACACACAATACACACATACACACATACATACACATGCACATGTGTAATCTATAACACAGTATATGCATATATGTGTGCCTATACACGTATACATGCATGCACACACACACACATAAAACTAAACACAACTTTTAAACTAATTGCTAATCAGTATTCTTGGCTATAAAGCAGAGAGTTTTCTAATTACTTCTTACAGGATCTATTTTCATTCTTTCCACTGTGAGACTGCAGCGATTTCTCTGCAACACTTTGCAAACACAGACACGGACAGTAGCCAAGCCCGCAAACACATGCGGCCAATGTTAAGGAAGCGTTTGACTTCTGTCCTTTGCGAAGCGTGAACCTCTTACCCCAGTAAAGAGCATGCACACGGCCCAGGGGCTTCTCCTCTGTGGAGGTGCCCCAGTCCAGTTCCTCCCAAAGACACTCCCCCGCCTACCGGGCCTCACTCCGCACAGCTAAAAGTATGTCTCTCCCCCTGCAGAGTTGTGACCACAGGGAACCAGGGCCCCTTCCAGCCCCAGGGGCTGGCTCTGGCCCTGGAGGGCGAGGACTCCATGAGGAACTATCCCACAGGAAATTACAGTCCTTAATTGTTTGCAGTCGATAATCTTCTTGGAGGTGAGTGGCTCAGAGGACAGACTGAGAGGCGGACTCCAAAAATGGAAATAGTCCAGCACAACATCACGGAGAACAGAGAAAGGAAAGACCAGCTTTAGGGTTCACTCCATTCACGCAACTGAACGGCGGTGGCCGTTTAAAGGGATCCAGAAGCAAAATAAAGCCTACGGACGCATCAGTGGCCGGAAGAGGCAAGACAGCCTCGTTACATATGCTCCATCGTTTACTCTTAGGGGGATATTCGGAAGGCCACACGATCGAACTTGGAATCCAGGCCGAACTTCATGCTTTCTAAGCAGCTCCTACCCCTTCTCGTCATCGAGTCCGAGAGCAGATGTGTTTTGAGGAAAGTCAAGAAGAGCTGTGCTTTATGTAAGTAGAATTTTTAAAAATAACTATAATTATACTGTAAGTCCTGCGAGTTCCGTATTATTGGCCATAAAAAAGTAGTTGTGAGGACAAGCAAGGTGCTTTCAGATGTTATGATATATTTGCAGGTAAAAAATGCCTGGCTATAATCCCCTCCCTAAACATCTTGTCCAATACTCTTATACCGCTTCCTAAAGTCAAAGATGTGTAAGAGGTAGATTAATCCTGACTTGTAACTTAGTTTTTTCTCAAAATGCGAACTGTAACAAATACCAGGATGTTAAATGCTTTAATATTACTCAGGAGAAGCTTATTTAAATCAGGATTCACCGGAGGAGAAAGACAATTAAAAGTGGGAAAAATTCCCCTTGGGGACCCTTTCATATTTAATTCTCCCCCCACCCCTGCCTGGGAACCAGCATCAGTCAGGACAAGTCAGGGAGGAAGAGAGGACAATACATCTGATCTTGGGGCTTAGGGGGCATATTACAACAATATTCTCTGTGGGGCGCCTGCGGGGCTCAGTCGGTTAAGCGTCCAACTTCAGTTCAGGTCATGATCCCACAGTTCATGAGTTCCAGCCCCGCATCGGGCTCTGTGCTGACAGTTCGGAGCCTGGAGCCTGCTTTGGATTCTGTGTCTCCCTCTCTCTCTCTGCCCCTCCCCGGCTTATGCTGGCTCTCTCTCTCTCTCAAAAATAAACATTTTTAAAACTTCTTAAATAATAATAATGTTCCCTGCAAAGACAGTTAAGCCAAAGCCTTCTGATATCACATCAGCTATGGTAGATGCACAATAAAATGGTTTTGTGCAAATGAAGGATGTCAGCAACTCTTCTTCTGACCTAATCAACTTAGAACACGCCTCCTAAAGAGGCTCAGAATCCAAAAAATGTATGTTTCCTCATCTCTCCAAACCTCCGTCTAAGTTCTAATGCAGCCTCTGGTCACTGTGACGCCCAGGGGAGCTGACTTCCCATTCCTACCCCCACCTAATGGTAAGAGGTTCATTTCAAGGTCTGCGCCAAGGATCCTAAATTTCGTAGGCAATGGGTGGATATTAGGATAATTAGGAATAAAAATGAACTAGGCTCTAACATGCGACATATACAATATATATTTGGGAATATTACCTTTTTCTTCGATGCTTCTGACTTCTTTGACATGTTCTTCAACTTTTTATGCAAATGATTGAGGACCTGGAAAACACAGACTGATTAAACCGATCGCCTCCTGCCCACAGTTCACCGTCTGATTGGCACTGATAATTCTCGACCTTCTGGCGTGGGAATCACACTGCAAGGTCATTCACGTGGAAATGCCCTTAAGGTGGCAAAGTCTCACCGAACGTGAACCGCCAAACACGTCTGTTCCTCTCACATTCAGGAGCATCCAGGGGAAGTTTGTGCTCCTAGCATCTGTTTGCAGAGAGCCCTGCGTTGTGTGGCTCTGGGGTTTTGTCCAGAAAAACGCAGATATGCATGGATGCATCCTCACTGGTCTGCCTTTCACCTCAGATTTCCCCGAGCTTCCACGTTGTAACAATCGCTAGGCCCCTATTATATGTCAGACGCAATGCTAAATCCTAGATAAGTGGAAACACTAGAAGTCTCCTTCCAGTGAACCGTCCAATGCAGGAAGCCAGCAAGTGAGCAAATCACGATGATATCAGCAGAGAATTCTTCCGTGCAGGCCATGTTTGCTGCAACTTATTCCTTCTGTGTTCCTGTTGTGGGCTCCTTAAAGCAAATTACCACCCATCCAATCTCCTTACGTTCTTTATTCTAATTCTACCCACCTCGCCATGCTTTTAGAAAACTCACATTTGGGGAATTCGGCTTCTCGGGAGGTTTATAGACTATTTAGCAAGGTTTTACAATTGACATCCCTGTCAGAGGATCTCCTGACAGACACTGGCTTCGTTCATTAGAGAAACTATTTTTGTCTCCTCTTGTCGACGTAATAGTCGGGAGAAGTGACGTGAAACATTTGGGTTATGTGTAGGAATTTGCAGCGTAAGCTTGCTCTCACACACCTGAGCCAAGCCTGCAGATTCATACTTGAGTTGAGTTTTCTATCCCATCTGAGTGACATCTAAGGAAAATTAGCCTCTGGATGACTCAGGGCTTGGACTTCTCCATCATTTCCCAGATGAGCCTCTGAGAGAACTAGAAACCACATTCCAGACATTTTCTGGCTTCCCTCCAGCACCTCGGCCTGGAAATAATGCAATCCATTTGGAACACTGCACAAGCCTGCAGCACTCAGCTGGATGTGGCACTTCTGGAATGATCAGTTATACCCTAAATTAAGAAACTACAGGATTTCTTTACCAACTCCGTGGGCTCCACGCAAGTTAAGCAGACATCTTTGGGGTTTGAACTTCTGACTCCAAATTTGCAGCCCTACTGAACTACTTCTCTTCCAACAGTGGGGTGTCATCACCTCCA